CCTTAGGGTACAAACGAAGTGAAACAACGTAAAGTCATAGATAAAAGGAAAGACTAGGTCAGAGAAAAGAAATGAAATAACATTAGCTATGTGAAGTCAATTACTGCTGGAAAAGGAACCTTACAGTGGTGGTACCATATATGTATTCAGTGATTATGAAAATGACTTAGTTAATTAATATTTTATCAAACATTGGAAAAAATTCTAAACTTTTTAATCTATTAATTCGTATAAAAAGTACAGCTTTATCAAATATATCACATTACATTTAATCTTATGTGATTATATTAATTGTAGCCTAATAAATAAGATAATTTGATAACATTATTATATAAAACACATACGAAAAATACCGTAATACGTATAAATGTGCTTTAATTACTTAGCAAACAAAATATTATTTGTCTATAATAAGAAACAAATAATATAATAATAATGCAATGAGAAAAAGAAAACGTGCTAATTTTCTTAGAAAAGTATGAATACCAATATTTACAAACAAAAAGTCTTTTAAAATTACTACTCTTTTGTTGCTAGCGTTTAAATATATGGATTCTATAAGAATCTGGTTCTCATAAATAATGATCATATATTATTTATTTTCAATTTAAATAATTAAAAAATCCAAAAATTTGTATACACGATGTATATTTTAATCATGACTCCATAATAATAAACTTTACAGATGACTAAAAGTATCGTCCTATAATGGAATTCTAATTCTTCTGCTGTCAAATATTTTAACAAATGATATGCTTCTCAATATTTTCTCATTGTTTTGTTTGTTTTGTTTTATCATTGCAAAAAATATATTATATTGTTCGTCTATATTCTAAATAAATAACACTGAAAATGAAATGTATGAGTATCAAAACAGTTTTGAATGTTAGAATGAAGTTGTCATTTCTTATAGAAATATTTATAATCTCATTGGTGTATTGCGCTTGAACATATGTGCAATTACTTTAGAGGTACTTTCAGGTAATGTATGGTGATTTTAAAAAATAATTTAGCACCTCGGGAGAAGTACATGTAACCCATATTTTAGAAAGTCAACTTTTATTTGGAGATAAAATTCATTCCCACCTCGTGGGGCGATGCATCAATAAGGTAGACACCAATATATCTAGAGACAGAGGAATGTAAAATTAACTAAGAGGAATTAGTAGTTTATACAGTGATAAAAAATATCAGCAATTTTAGTGACACCGTTAGTTATTTCATTGAGATATTTATCCTTTGTTAGTAGAAATACATTGTTATAAAGATCATGCGATCATGAAATTTGACTATATGTTGGGTCAGAATGTTTCTTAATTGTTTGAATAAAATTAGCGTTTTGCCAAATTAATTAAGAGAAATTTTGCAATATTATTGATGTATTGGACTCCAACGACTATGAATGTTCTTATGAGAACGTCCAAACCAAAATGAAAGAAAATCTTTGTGTTTTTTATTAGGGATTTATTTTTTATATATATTTTTGTTGGGGGTTGTAAAATGTTATTTCACTCTTTTTATATGAGGACATCATTACCTTAATTCTAAATAAAAAAAAAAATCACATATGAGTTCATTTTTTCTATATTTTACTTCATTTCTGCAATGATATGTTTAATAAATTAATTAATTTATTTTGCAAACTTACTCCGCGAATATCATTCGACACCACGTGCATCGCACGCGCGTGCACTTTACTAGTCATCATAAATATATAGACATAATTTTATTATAAAATAAAATGTTTCCATGAATAATTAAAATTAAAATAAACCGATTGAGTCTCGGTTTGACTTGGTCGGGTCAATGCACGAGTCGTCCGAATCACGGTAGGTCGTCTAGTTTTTGACCAAGTTAGTCCAAGTTTGACCAGTTCGAATGAACCACCCAGAATCGGCCCTAACACAGGATCGGTTGGGTTCCGAGCCGGTCCAGGGGAAAAAACATTGGTGTATGTATACAATTATACATGCATGGAGAGATTTGTTTGTTTTAAACAATTGTTTATTTGCATAATTTGTTTATCAACATATAGGCACACACCAATCATTTTTTAACATTCAACTTTAACTAATTGAATAATACTTTAATTTAACAACCAATTGTATATTGAGAATTTCGTTTAAAAGTGACCAACGTTGAACTGATTTGGGACATATGATATTTATCTATTCAACTTGGCAAATGGGAAGGCTATTATCATCCTACATAAGTGAACTTTCCAAGAATAAATGCTTTTCACCTATCACAACCAAAATTGCATTTTTAGTCCTGCTCGTTTAACGTCGTGTATTTTTAGTCCTACAATTTCAACTTCTTGCCTTTTGAGTCTGTAATTTAGTATTTTACTGCAATTTCAGTCCCAAATGACTGAAATTGCAACAAGATTTTAATTTACAAGACTTAAGTTGCTAATAAAAAATCTTTAAGTCTTGTAAATTTAAATCTTGTTGTATTTTCAGTCTCAGATAACTAAAATTGCGTTGATTTTTTAAATCATATAACCAAATAGCAAAAATGTTCATATCTTAAGACTAAAAATGCCTAGATCAAACCAACCGGACTAAAATTGCAATTTTGTCGTTATTAGAAGTGAAGTAGATCCCTGAAAAAAAAAAAAAAAAAAATAGATCCGTGGGACTGAAGCTAAATTTGTGGTCCATACACAATCTATATCTATATATATATATAAAAAGAATTACTATTTACTAAAAATAGTAGCAAAAATTTAGGAAACATTTAATGCATGCTATTTTTGGAAATTTTTTATATATGCATTAATTGTTTCTATTTACACGTTCTCAAATAAGATCAAATAATTACTTAAATAAATTATTAATATCTGCAGTATTTTCATTTATATTTCTTATAATAAATTACAAGATTGATTTTCGTGATTCATGTTGATAATATTTTGATCAAGACAAATATTATTTTATTAATATTTGTAATACTTTCATTGGTATTCATTATAATGAATTACAAGATTGATTTATGTGATCCATGTTGATAATATTTTGGTCAAGATAATATTACACCATATTTTAAGTTCTAACCATAATATTAGTTTTTTTTCACAAATATTCTCTTTTTATCCAAAAATATTTATGAAAAATCGTAACAAATTAACTAGAATTTTATTTCCAAGTAATCAGACAAAATCAAATTGGAGAATTAATATTTGTCAATATATTTGTTTCTTAAGCTTTATTTTGTTAAATATAAAAATAAATCGTTCTTCAAATTCATATAATTTATTATTTAAGAGATAATGACCAGATATAATAAATAGTTTTACTAATGGTAAAAAATTAAAATTGAAACATATTAACTATTGTTTAACATTAATTTGTATATTATTGGCACCCATGACTATATTTTTTTATTTTTTATTTTGATTTATTTCTATAATTAAATTCTTGTAAAATATATTTTCATTGTTGAATATGCTAAATAAAACATAAATCCTTATAATGCGAACTAGAAAAATCTTGATCATATAGGGGATCGAGTTTTTTGGGATTTTCTAAATCAAAGTTGTTTAATTAGTATATAAAATTAAGTTCTAAAAAAATATGTGTATATTTTGTAAAATACTTATACACTATTTAATATTAAATTTATTTACATATTTTAAATTGATTACATAAATAAATAAATAATGCAAACGTGCATTAAATTCATTACATAAAATAAAAATATAAAGAAGACGTACAACTTCTATAACTTTATAAATAATAATGACATTATATGACATAAAGTGTATAATAAAATAATAATTAAGTATTATACGGTGAACAAGAATAAGTAAAATTGTTATTCTCTCTTGTATCAAGGAATAAATATATATATTAAAATCAAATTTAAATTAAGATAAATGTGTTAGTGAAATAATATATTAATTATTTTAATATTTTGACTAAAAAAATAACGTTGATTAAAAGAGGTGCAAAATATATTATAACCTTATTGTTTATTATACTTAAAGTTGATTAAAAGAGATGAAAAATAGATGATAATCTTATTGCTTTATATACTTAAACGGACAAAGTATGTGAAATAACACATTTAATATTTTTGTCTCGTGTATCGCACGGGGTACGTACTAGTATATATATATCACGGGGAAATTGAATACGCATTTAAGTATGCCACAGAGTTGTGTATTATCATTCTAAAAAGGCACCAAAATAACCCCAAAAAACAAAGGCTATGAAAAACAGTCACTGTCAATATAAATGTATTGATTCCAAATGGCTCACACTTGAACAGAAGCTATAAATGCAAACATATTCTTTTTCTCGGCCTTGCAAACTCTGGTGAATTGATTTCATTTACAATATCATCATCGTCATCTTTTCACTTCTATTTTCTTCCTTATACTTTTGTTTACCCAAACAAAATAAAAATCGACTAGCCACCTAATAAGAAACAAGCATTCGTCGAATTTTAAGGTAAACTTCCATGTTCAGACGCGTCTTCATAGTAATAAGGCGTCAATTTACCGTCTTTACCGGTGGTTTTGTGTTGGCTGCCGCCACAGCCTATCTCTTGAAACATCTTCACCACACGTCTCATCGAGGGGCGGTTGATTGGTAGCGGGCTTGTGCAGAGGAGGCCTATGTTGAGGACTCTGCATATTTCATCCTTGAAACAAGAATCGAGCTTCGGGTCTATCACGTGGTCCACGCCCTTCTGATCCAGTGTGGTGCACACCCACTTGACCAAATCCTTCTCCCCAAACTCGGGATCCACCGGGAGTTTCCCTGTGATCAGCTCGAGAATTACGACCCCGAAACTGTATATGTCACTCTTTTCGTTCACCCGTAGCGTGTATGCGTACTCTGAAAAAAACATGAGAAACTGTATAACAAAGGGCTCATCTGGATTTCCTTCTTCAACTTAACCAAATTAGTTCAAAGATGCTAAATTGTACCCAAAGAAACTTCACGCAATTTTACTCCTCATCCCATACTAACTACTGAATATATAGCTATGGTTGGTAATCCTAGCATATAAGCTACCTTATAGCTTTCAAGTGAATTCTGAGCTTATAGCTGATAGCTTATGATTTATGGCTGAAAAACTAACTTATATGATAAAAGTGTTTGATAAGTTAGCTAATAAACTAGTTGAAATAGAAATTTCAATTGGCTTATTTAAAAGTTACCCAAAGAAACTATGAGATAAGCTGGGGATTTTTTTAAAAGCTCGTCCTAACAAACAAAACTTATTTGAATACATGAAACTTATAATCTAATCAAATAAGCTATAAGCTAACTTATATACATACCAAAGACAATCCTAATCACATAAGCAAATTTAACCAACTAAAAACAAACCTGGTGCAATATAGCCGCAAGACCCAGCAATAACCGACATCGACTTGGTCCCCTTGGCATTCACGTCAACCGCCTTAGCCACACCAAAATCCGCAACTCGGGCACCATAATCCGCATCGAGCAGTATATTATTCGACTTCACGTCCCTATGAACTATCGGTGGTGCACAGTCGTGGTGAAGGTACGAAAGCCCCTCGGCAGCATCCATGGCTACCTTAAACCTGATCGGCCAATCGAGCAAACCGCTTTTCGTGCTGTGCAGCAAATCACCCAAACTGCCATTAGGCATGTACTCGTACACCAAAAGCTTGCAGTCCCTCGTGGTACAACAGCACCACAGCTTCACGATGTTCTTGTGCCGGATTTTTCCCAATGTCTCAACCTCAGCACAAAAACCGTCATTCGGCAAATTCGAACTTCCTTTCTCCAAGTCATGGTTGCTCTCGTCAGAAAACTTGGGTCGGGCCCAGAGCTTTTTCACGGCCACTGCCTCTCCGTTTTTTAACACAACCTTGTAGACTTTGCCAGACGAGCCACTTCCAATCACATTGTCCTCGTCAAGGGCATTCAATATCTCGTTCTCGCTAAATCCTAGCTTGTGAAAGGACATGAGTGTCCATTTCGATTTTTTTCCCTTTGATGTAGCCTTCTTGAATTTCTGGTACTTGGAGTAGAAGCATATGAGGCCAACTATAAGGAGCAACACAGCAAATACGAAAATGCATCTCAACATCCACGCGTAGCCCATGTGTTTTACTTCGTCTTTTCCATCACAAAGACCCTCGATATCTCCACAAAGCCCTGAATTACCAATAAAGCTATCTTTATACATTGATTTTGAATATTGAGGTGGAATATCCCCCGTGAGATGATTATCTGACACGTTGAACCGATTAAGCTTCAGGTTCTGCAACCCGAGTGGAATTTTACCGGAGAATTTATTTCCCGATAAATCTAAGTAATTTAAAACTGATAAATCCCCAATCTCGTCCGGAATGTTACCGGAAAAATCGTTTCTAGCTAAATTCAACTCGTTTAGCTTCTTCCAGGAATGAATCCCACTCGGCAGCTCACCGGACAATTGGTTATTATGAAGATCTAGCTTAACTAATTGGCCAAGATTCACAATGCTACTTGGTAAGGAGCCTGATAATTTGTTGTCATTAGCAGAAATTTCAAGCAAATTACCCAAAAACCCGAGCTCCTCAGGCAGGCTACCAGAGAAATTGTTCCCAGATAATATCAACTGAGATAAATTGGAGGCACCGGAGATAGAGTTTGCGATTCCGCCGGAAAAAGAATTACCTGTGAGCTCAAGCAGAGAATTATGCGGAAGTCCCCAGAATCCGGCCGGTATCTCGCCGGAGAAGCTATTGTGGGCTAATCTCACACGCAACAAGCTCCGGCATTCGGCTAGAGCCGCCGGTATTCCGCCGGAAAATGAATTATCAAGCAGTAGAAGCTCCTCCAGGGCCCCTTTAGCACACAACCCTTCTGGTATTTCACCGGTAAATTTGTTGGTTGAGACATCAATCCACCTTAACGGCGAGTTTTTACCGAGATTAGGAGGTAAAGCTCCAGATAACTGATTCTCGAAAAGCCTCAGTTCATACAAGTTGGGAGAATCAGCAATGGCAGCCGGTAGTTCGCCTCGCAGGTTATTCTCGTAGATATTAAGAGACTCGAGCGGCAACTCGAACAACTCGGCCGGGATCGTCCCAGTCAACTCATTCATCGACGCGTCGAGCCGCCTCAGCGATTTCATCCTCGACCAACCACGGCTGGGTAACTCGCCGGTCAGCGAGTTGTTGTAGAGTTCTAACTGGACGACGCTGGCCAACTCGGTGATCGAAATCGGTATCGGACCGGTCAGCGAGTTGTAAGCCAGGTCCAAATCGGTCAGCCGACCCAGTCGACCCAGAGAATCAGGTATGTCACCGACTAAATTCGTTTCCGTCAGCCAGAGCACCTCCAGATTCGTAAGGTTCCCCAGCTCCGGCGGGATACGACCCGGAGAAAACGGGTTGTACGACAGATTCAGCTGCTTAAGCGTCGACACGTTCCCAAGAGACGCCGGAATCGTGCCCTCCAGCAAATTCTCCACCAGAGAGAGCACCTCGAGTTTCTGGAAGGTCCCAAAACTGTCGGGGATTACGCCGGAGAAGTTATTTCCGGTCAAATCGAGGTACTTCAAGTTCGGGAGATCCGCTAGCTTGGGGGGAAGCACGCCGGTTAAATAGTTCTGCCCCAAATTGAGGTGCTCCACCGAGCGGCAGAGGGCGAGCTGCTCCCCCTGTAGAGTGGAGTTGATGAAGTTGTCGTAAAGGGAAACGAAGGATAAGCTCTTGAGGCGGCAGATAATGTAAGGGAAGGGGCCGGAGAGGCTGGAGCTGGAGAGGTCCAGCGACAAAACGGAGCCGGTGGAGGAGTCGCAAACGACGCCGTTCCAGTTGCAGGGGGTGGGATCACCGGAGTTCCAGTCGGAGAGAGCGCCGTTTGGGTCATCGAAGCCGAGCTTGGCCTGCTGAAGATACATGCCTTCTTGGTTGAGGCAGAGAATAAGAGGAGGGGATAGGAGAACAAGGAGGAAGGAGAAGAGGCGGTGGTTGTGGTGGCGTAGCAACATTTTGCCGGCGGTTGAGTGGCGTTGGGAATGCCGTAGGTGATTTGGAGTGAGAGTGTAGTGATTGAGATTGAGACTGATAAATTGAATTAATTAAGACATTTTTTTTATGATGGGATTGGATTGAGAGTAAGCTTTGCTGGCATTTTGGTTTATAAATAGAGGCGACATGATATGTGTTATTGAAGCTGGATATGTAAGTAAAAAGACCAAATAAATAGTTTTTTTCGAATACGGAAAGCAGTTCGAGTGGGTATATTTTTTTCAAACTTGACATCAAATTAGTTAAGACAAGTTGCATTATTTTATTACAAGAAATACTTGACATTAGTCCGAAATAACGACGATGTATACTCCAACGTGGCTCTTGGATGCGTCTCTTTTATCTCAACGCCTGCAAAACAAAATTCTGAGATTGTTCCTAGGGGTAGATCCTCCGATGTCTAAGTTAGAGACGGTTTTATAATTTCGAGTGGCGATTGTAGAGTGAGAAGAAGAAAGAGTGTGTCACTTACCGTGACTTGGGTCATCCTTTAATAGAGGTCGGATGACCTAAGTCTTTCCTATGCAGATGAAGGACTTCCCAGCCTACTAGTTTGGTGGACCATTGGGCCACGTCGAGACCTCGGGCCTACAGTAAGGCTCCTCAAGATCTTGGTCCTACAACAAGGCTCCTCAGGACGCTGGAATTAAAGTAAGGCTCCTCAAAACCTTGGGCCTAGTTTGAGGTTGGACTTCAGTCTTGACCTTGGCACTAACGGTCATCAGAGTACACGTGTCTTTATTATCCCAAGCCACGTGTCGCCTTAATAAATGTATATTTTTCCTCTTAT